CACTGGACACGTCGCCGAATGCGATTGTACACCATGAGTGCCGACGGTTTTTATCCCGTATTTTGGCTAAGGCTGAACCAGATCAATGCGGATGCCGTCCCAGTGCGAGATCCACAGTACAAGCGTTCCCCGTTAGAAACGCTCGGAGTGCGCACTTCAAATTCAATAACCTTGCGATCACCTTGCAGCCCCCAGACAGAGGCATTCCTGGTGCTTCTCGGGCACACCCAGGGCTAGACAGATGTGAAAACCATTTAAACCATGGTTTTCCTTTCACTGAGCCGTACTCCGTGTTTGCCGTTAAACAGTCCGTTATTGCTGGGGCAGCTTATCACCCGCTACACGCAAGACTCCAACGGGGACACCGTGACCTAACGTCAGGAGAGGGAGACAACGGTTCTAACATTCTTTTTATTTCCTAACAATAACATCCCTCCAGACCGACTCTTCTATGTTCGTACGCGGCTAACTGTCGGAATCCATAAGACCTAGTAGCGATTAATATAGGAATACGAGTTATTTCAAATTCACTCACCTGAAGCCGGCTGACGGTTAGACAGTAGGACGCCATTTTGTTCACTGACAAAGATGTGTCGCATGAGGATGACGTTGAGCCACCCGATTTTATAGCCTCGGGGGGCTGACGTTTGTCCTAGCAGACAGATAAAATATTAATGTTCGAATCTTCTTTTTGTCATTTTTGGAAAGAAATAGTACCTCGAATACTATAAAATCTATTTTTGATGACATCTGTGGAAATATGTCCGTATACACACAGTATTCAATCATATTAACATTTTTGTTTGTAGTCGACTGCCAGGATAAGTTTACAAGCAATCTTTTATTAAACGCTCAGAACGTCATTACAAAAGCAGCGTAATCAGGACAAAAGGGATAAGCAGCATTTTCACTTCTTAGTAAATAAAAAATATTTTAAAATATTTTAACGAGAGGAGAAATGTGAGCTGGTTGCTACGGGAACCGCATGAAAGATCGCGTGCTAGATAAAAATCTTAAAATGAACAAATTGTAGACGGTTTTGTGAACAACAGGTGATGCGGCCTTCTTTAGAAAACGCAGTCAGGTGGAAAAAAGGTGAAATAACTAATAAAAAAATATATCGTAACTACAGGGTCAACGCTGAGTTCAAAGGTGAAAGGTGAGACGCGCCACAGCGCCGTTGTCTACAGCTCAACATGGCTAAACATCATCCTGACTTGATCTTCTGTAGAAAACAAGCCGGTGTCGGTAAGAACGGGAGCTCCTTTTTAAAAACAACTCTTTTTCTTTTAGTTACTATGCCCAGAATGTAGGCGGCAACGTGCTTTATAATATGATCGCAGGGCGCCGGTTTAAAGTTTGAACGAGTAGGTCCTTGCTCGGGTATATCCGTTTAGTAACACGAAATACTTTTAAAAAAACTGCCTAGGACACTCTATAATAACGTCAATCCCGAACCAAGATACTAGTGTCGTTGTGTTTTGTTGTATTTTGCTGGCGAGTGTTGCTGTAACCCACTTTTGAAACACGATATGAAAGTTATGTCTGATTCTGGTGTTGGGGAAGGCACGGGGCTCATTGGCGAGTTACAGCACCGTGTTTTCCTGAAAGGACAGCCGTCAGTAAGCTGTCCTGGAATGATTGTAATAATGCATGAGTGTTGGTAGTAAGTAGTTTCACTGTAATTTAGTGGACTTTAACTCAGATGGTAATTAAATCATGATTAGGGTGGCTAATTAGGAAT